GTTGTCTACAACAGCCTCACTTCAGATCAAAAGATACACAGGGACTGACAGTAAAGGGATGAAAAAAGATATTTCATAAAAATGGAAACAAACAATGCCCTGGCTGGTGTTGCTCAGCGGTTAGAGCATCAGCCCATGCACAGAAGGGTCTCGGGTTCAATTCACAGTCAAGGGCATGTACCTGGTTTGCAGGTTTGATCCTCAGCTCCTGGCCAGGGCTCCTGCTGGAGGCAACCGATTGATGTCTCTCTCTCACAAAGATGTTTTTCTCCCCTCCCCCCCCCCTTACACTCTCTCTAAAAATCAATGGGAAAAAATCTTCCAACAAAGATAAGCCCTGGAACTGATTGCTTCACTGATGAAGTCTACCAAAGAGCAGCCACATTCTATAACAGCTCTTACCCAGCTCATTTGACTTGAGACATTCGCACCGAAGGGATGCTCTCCTGCTGTCTGCCTGTGTCCTGAGGCCAAGGCCTCAAAAGAGGCAGTTGTGAGAGTATGTTCCACCAAGACCGCCACTGGGCCCTCACTCAGCCCAGATGCCTGGGGCCCTTGTCATGGCAGGACCCAGAGGTAACACAGGGAGGCCCAGGGCAGTTTGGTTCAAGCCAGGCCACCACTGATCGCACCTAACCAGCCTATGCCCGTGTGTGCGTGTGCATGTGAGTGTGTGTAAGAGGGGAGGGCCTGCTCAGGGCAGGAACAGGCTTGGGGTTGGGCTTGGGAACAGGCTTGGGGGCTTGGGGTCAGAAGCCTAGTCAGCTTGTTATGTTCACACCCCAGGTAAAGGCTGGCTGGGTACACATGGAGTGTGAGGAGCACCCTTTTTCTGATGTTTATCCTGAGCCCTGGAGGTGAATCCCATTTCCCCCGGGGGGAGGTCTGTGCAGACACAGGGCTGGGCCTGATCCAGGAGCAAAGGGTCCAGTGGGCAGAAGCAGCAGCGACTAGGGCCAGGTAAGTTCTTGGGTCCTCCCAATCGGCTTTGGGTCCCTGTCACTGCAGAGTTCAACCCAGGACACAGAGGAGCAGCTAGTCAACAAGAGACCCCTGCCCCATATCCACCAGTGAGGGGCAAGTGAGCCACATCACTGAGGGCCAGAGCAGGCCCAAAGAGCATATGGCCACCTAGGAGTCTGGGGATGGCTGGAGAAGGACTCCTCCCCTGAAGCTGCCCAGGCTCCACAAGCCTCCAACCTCAAAGCCACTTAAGTCTCCACAGGCAGCTCTCCCTGGAATACCATGCTGATGTTAAACAACCCTGGATGGAGGACCTGGAGCCCAAGGAGGCAGAACCCAAGAATGAGAAGGTAGGAGAGGTGGGAGTGAAATAGGGGACAGAGATACATGCAAGATTATGGGGAAGGATTGGTGCCAGACACACAGGGAGCACCCCCAGAAGCTGTCCAGAAGCAAAGACTGGTCTCAGACCACCCATGTGCTGGATTTCCAATAGAGAGTATGCCTTGTGGTAGGTCCTGGGCTGCGGCTGTATTCAGTCTTTGGGGGACACATGGAAGTGCAGGCATATAGGTGACCCCTCGCAAATCAAATGCAGGGGCAGACCTGGAGGGGTGTCCTGTTCCAGAGGTTGTACCATCTCTAGCAGCCACTTCAGCTGCAGCTCTGAAGCTGAGGCTGGCCTGGGCATCATCTCCTGACCTGAAGCCCCACCATCCCTGACTGAAGAACCCCCGCCCCCACCCAGACCTACCCTGGTTCCTGCCACAGAAGGAGCTGTCTCTGGAAAATATAGATCAGGGTCAGCTCTGGAGCTGCTTGTTGAAGGTGCTCAACCTGTCCCATCAGAAGAATGTGCTTTACCCCCACTCACTGACCTTTTTCTTCTATTTTCCTTCTTTCTTATGTTTTTTTCTTTTTCTCTATGACATGATTAAGTTTTCTATTTTTATTATGTAGGAGTTTTGGGGGAGTTGCTTTTATTATTTTTTGTTTTTAGCCTTCATTTAATGTTTAAATTTTAAAGTAATGGATTCTATAACACCTTCAAAATTATTAAATCTAGCCTTCTTGACTCATGATATAAATCACTACTGGCTAATAAATCAAGGCATCAATCTTTTATGCCTTCTAGTCCTTTTTAAAAATTATATAGCAGTGATTATTCTAGTCACTAAAAACTCCCCAAATAAATGTCTCTCTCTGAAGTGACAATGGAGTACTACCGAATACAAACCCATTTTAACTAAAAAGTTGCCAGGGCAGGCCAAGTGCCGCTGCACAGGGAAAAGGGCCTGTTAAAGAAGCTGAGTCCGGAGCAATCTAGCATACACTCTCGAGAACTCCAAGTCCAGGAGGCCTCTATTCTCCTTTAGTCAAATGTGGCAGCAATAATTACCAGCTTTCTGAAAGCCACCCCCACAAAAAAGCTAGCCTTTCGTAGAGAGTGGCATCTCGAAGTGACAGAGATATAGGGAGAGGTATCGGAATGTCAGGAAGCACCCAGAAAGTTTTGGGGTATTCAGTTTAGCCACAAGAATAAGCTACCAAAACCTAGAGGGAAAACACTATATAAAAACTCAGAGAAAAGGAGAAATATTCTCTCCAAATCTTCTGTAGGATGCCCCTCCAGAAAAATTAATTTTGAAATGTGGGCATTTTATTTTAAAATGAGTAGAACATTTAAATTGTACATGTGTTGCCAACTAAAGTAATCACACTGCAATGCAAAAGTTTAAACAATACAGAAAACTGTGAAGAGTCTAAATAAAGCAGTTCTGACAGTTCTGGTTTTAAATACATGAAGCAATGGAGAGTTCAAACTAGTTTTTTACATGTTGCCCCATCCTCCACTCCAGTCACACCCACAGTTCTACCAACTCATACTCACCATCCAGCAGTGACTGTCACTATACAATTTGTTTAATTCCTTCCAGATAATGCAATTATATCTAAAATGTACACAATTGTAGAATTTTTACATAAAACAACCTACATTTAGTAAAAAGAGCATAGATTATAAGCTAATCAGACCTAGTGAAAGTGAGGACTCAATAAATGTAAACAAAGAAATGGACTTGGGTCTCGACCTCACTACCCTAGGTAAGTGTGTTTGAATCTCTCTGGACTACATATATACAATACACACACACACACACACACACAGAATATGTATGCATTAATATATATGCACAGAAAAAAATTCAGGAAAAGTAGACTAAACCTTAGGATTAGTTTTTCTTTAGGTTATAGGAGGATAAGGGGCAGAGAGCTGTGATGATAAATTAGAAGCACAGATAAAAAGGCATTTAACATATAATACACTTCCAAGAGGGAAAATATACAAAGACACACTCCTGCCCATGGGGAGCCCTGACATTTTCAACAGAGGAAAGAAAGATGCACTGTGTCCTCTCTACTTACAGAACTTTTTTTTTTGCTTTTTGCTCTGGTGGTGGTTCTATCAAACGTTCCCCCTATCCTGACTGAATCTAAGAATTTGAGAAAATGGATAATAGTGTAGCACCTACTTACTCATATAGCTATTAGATACCAGCTTCTTCTCATTAGCTGGACAAATAGTAAGCAGAAAGGTCTGAGAGTTGAAAAGAAAGTAGAACCTTGCTTCTGACCTCATGACCTTGAGATTCTCAAAGGTTTAGCTGAAGTGAAATATCCATATATTTTGAAGGGTGAAAATTTAAAATAAGTTATATGGCGAATATTAAAATATGGTGTTGTGTAATGTCCGGCTGGTGTGGCTCAGTGATTGAGCATCGACCCATGCACCAAGAGGTCGCCGGTTCAATTCCTGGTCAGGACACATGCCCAGGTTGTGGGTTCGATCCCCAGTGAGGGGCATGCAGGAGGTGGCCAACTGACGTTCTCTCTCATTGATGTTTCTATCTCTCTCTCCCTCTCCCTTCCTCTCTCTAAACTCAATAAAGGAAAAAAATAAAATATGGTGTTATTTAGATTAGAAAGACATAATCAGCCTATCTTCATAACTTAAACAATAGCATGTCTGCAAAGAATGCTAAAAATCAAGTTCCTATATCACCTTACCTCTCCTAGCTCATCTCATGCCTCAACACACTCATCATTATAAAACTTACAGCAAATGCCACATCTCTGGCTAAAATGCATTGCCCAAACAGGTGGGAATGGCATGGAATTTACAATATCACAAAACTAAGCTTTGAATTCTGCTAAGAATTATGACAACTGATCATTGATAAGTTATCCTTGTAACGTATAACCTTGTTATCTTTAGAAAAGTTTAATCATAAAACTATTCTCAGGCTGATGAAATATTACTAGATTTTTATGACATTAAAATTAATGAAAAATTTAAAGTCCTTTACAGGTAACTTTTCTCATTTTAATTCATGAAATGATTATCATTTAATATAATTTATATCATAATCACCCATAATGGATAAAATAAAGTTTACCAGCTATATGACAATCTGGTTAGTTGTTAAGAACAAGAGCTCTGAACCTGGACTAGGTTTAAATCCTGCTGTGTCATTTACCAACTGTGAAACTTAGGCAAGTTACAATCTCTTTTGCCTCAGTTTTTTCATCTGTAAAATGAGGACGACAGTATTTATCCCTCATTCTGTTTTGAGAATTACGTGATTTGAACGTATATATAAAATGATTTGAACATTTGGCATATAATAAGCACTATACAAGAATTAGGTGCTATTAATATTATTTGGTTAAAAATTTTAACAAAGACAAGCTAAAACTATCTCGTGCTTTAAAAAGAATGTTAATTTCATTAGAGAGATTACTTATTTTCAAAAACTTTCCACTTATAAAAACAAGAATCACATTAAAGTATACAATGCAATTGCATTCAAATATAAAATACAGGGTGGGGCAAAAGTAGGTGTACAGTTGTTCATATGGAAAATAACGCAATAATTAATAAATAATAATATAATTAAGTCTGTGTTTTGTGTACTTACAACTATAAACCTGCTTTGCCCACCCTGTATTTTATATCTGAATGCAACTGCCTCACATACCTGTTTGGAATACAAGTTCTTTCCCTCCTACACCTGCTGCTTCCAGGTTAATAAATGCACGAATCAAGTTAGCCCAGGGGTGCTGAGTAATGAAACCATGACTGGCCTGAAGGAGAAAGAAAGAAAACAATATACGTCAAATAATCTACGATTATCAAAGTCTCTATTTTGCTTATTTTACAGACAAAAGGGGAGAATCATTTTTTCAAAGGCAGTATCTAAGACATGTATCTGTTTCTCTCTCTATGCATAATGGCTGTGTGCGGTCTGCTGAGTGGAAAGTCACCATCACAGAAAATAGCCTGATTTCCATGAGTGGTGCCAAAAAACAGCCTTATTAAGTGTGAGGCTGCACAAAAAAAGGGACAAATAAGAGAAGGGATGATCCACATGGCTGGGTAGTCATGCTGTGTGCCTGCCTCAAAACATCTCTGAAACTCCAGTCAAAGAAAGCATCAGGTGAATGATTATGCCATCACAGAGCCCTTTTATAAATCAAACACTGACAAGATGGTCTGTTCTAAGTTGAGTTTTTGGATGTTGAACATGTGTACATAAGTGGCTGTAGAATTTTTAAATTATTTCCAGGTATAATATTTCCTTTGTACATAATTTTATACTATTCAAATGAAAAATCAAAATGTGTAAGTTATTATTATCACTATTCAAGCCTACTATATTTAAAACAGTAAAATCTCACCTGCAAAACATTTTCCTCAGCACCATTAAAGAGAAATATGATCGCATGATGCAAGGCTTCTGAAGATGTTGACAAGGTGTGAAGGACTTCCAGCATCACTGAACAGCTAACTGCATCATCACTGGCACCTTTAAATAAAAACAATAAAAACTTGCTCCTCAAATTTTAAGATCTTTACAGTATGACCACCAGGGCTAGAAATGGGGTTTTCTCTTTTTTTTGTTTTTTTTTGGTACATGCCCCTAGCGGGATTCTCTGGTCCGCAGGCCAATGCTCCAACTGCTGAGCCAAATAGGCCAGGGCGGGGGTTTTCTTATCAAGGGACCATCGCGTAGCTTACAAGACCAGAGGCACAGCTCGGTCTGTCACCATCAGGTGACAATCGTATCTACCAGCAGTAAACCCTATGAGAACAGGGATCTTAATCTGGTTTGCTTATTGACTTACTCTCAATATCTAGAACTACACCTAGCCCAGAGTAGTCACTTACCAAATATATTTGCTGAATAATCAACCAGATGGGACCTAAATTAATACTAAAATCTGTCATTCTCTGCCCTGGCAGGTGTTGCTCAGTGGGTTGAAGCATTGTCCCGTACACAAGTTCAATTCCCGGTCAGGGCACATACCCAGGTTGCTTCGGGTTCAAATCACCAGTGGGGCAGCGTGCAGGAGACGGCTGATTAATGTCCACTGGTACACAGATTTTTCTCTCTCCCTTCCTCTCCCTTCCTCTCTCTCTAAAATAAATAAAAGCATGTCCTCGGGTGAGGATTAGGAAAAATGAAAATAGTAAAATCTGGCATTCTCCTCAATCCAAACCAATTTGTTGCCTTCTTTATCCTTATTCCACATCCTCTGATATTCTCACTTCTGATATTCACAGCTTCCTAGATCATCTCCCCCTGCCACCCACTCCTTTCCTGCTTGTTTTCCTGCCAAAATTATAAAATCTTCAGATCACTCCACATTTACAGAGGGGTCAGTTTGGATGGTGTAGCATTTTTTTAAGGTTTCTCCAAGGAGCTGTGATAAAAAGTACAAAGAAGACACCAAATCTAATAAGAGAGGAAAAGAGACTAATGACCCAAGTAGTATCCCTGGCCCAGCCCTGATCAAGCAGAGGACTTCATCAAATCACTTAACTTCTTGATTCAGAAACTTTATAATTATATTAAAAAATTTTTTTTCCTTTATTGATTTTAGAGAGAGAGGAAGGAGAGGGAGAGAGAGATAAAAACAAAGATGAGAGAGAACATGGATTGGCCCCCTCCTGAAAGCCCCCCACTGGGGACTGGGCCCACAACTTGGGCATGTGTCCTGACCAGGAATCAAACCAGCGACCTCTTGGTGTATGGGCTGATGCTCAACCACTGAGCCACATCAGCTGGACTATAATTATAATTTTTTAATTTATAAAATTAAAAATGCTTGTTCTAGTGTTGTTAAATTCCACACTCCTTGCTCCTCAATAAGAAACTCCTTACTACCGATTATTACTTGTCTTGACAGTAATTACTGGATTGTATTTTAATCAAAGTGAAACTAAGTAATAACTACCTAACCACCTAGTTATTATCAAGCCAGAAGTATATGTAGCTATCAGTAAAAACTGGCACCTTCCAGGAACCAAATGAAATTAATGGTTTTTAACCGTGAGACTGTGAGTTACTTTAAAATAAAAATCAAGCCTGGCCGGTGTGGCTCAGGGGACTGGGCGTCATCCCATGGACTGAGAGGTCCCAGTTCGATTCCTGGTCAGGGCACATGCCTGGGTTTTGGGTTCAATGTCATTGATGTTGATCTCTCATCGATGTTTCTATCTCTTCCTCTCCTTTTCTCTCTTTCTACGATCAATAAAAACATATCTAAAATAAAATAAAATAAAATAAAATAAAAATCAAACCATAAAATTTTCCTTTATTCAAAGAAAAAGGGAAATTGAAAGAGACATATCTACACAGAGTTGATTAAAAAGTTAAACTGTCCATTTATCTTCCTTTCTGAGAACAGAACTAGAGAGGGTCAAATATCTTTGAGAAAGTGAAGGAAAGTTAGAGAACAGTATCTATAAGGCTGAGTAGTTAACCAACATCTCTTTCTATTTAGAATTAACCCTGAAATTGAAGCCACTCCTAAAATAGCTCAATGTCTCTTCTACCAGCAACCTGGAAACATGCAGCAAACCTAAGAAGATATTTAAGTCCTTTGTGTGGGTAACGTTACTTCTAATGAGTCTAGTCCTGAAGGTCCAGATGTGTTGCTGAGAAGAACTTTTAAAAAATGCCCATGTTTCAATTAGTTCATCCCCTGAAAGGATTTAAGTGATCATCTATTTTACGAGTATGTTTTTTTAACTATTTAGAACAATTTATTATTGACAGAAATGTTCTTGGTATAGGTAACCTCATAAAATTTTCATTTAAAATGAGTTCCAATGACCCACAAAAATGCCATCCTTTCATTATTGGATTCCATATATATATACATACACACACACACGACTTATAACATTTGGCACTCTGTTTCTAAAGTTGTATACAGAGCTTTTTTTTTTCCTTTTTTTTGTGGTATGTGCCCCTAGCAGGAACCGAACCCGGACTCTCTGGTCTGCAGGCTGACGCTCAACCGCTGACCCAAACTGGCCAGGGCCAAAGCTTTCTTATATAATACTCTTTAATAACCATGATGTTCATCTTTCCCTTCTAGAATTTAAGCATCGTTAAGAGTGGGCCCAGGGTGACAATTACTTTATTACTACTTTGAAATAGGCATACCTATGCACACAAAGATATTTCTGACTTAATAAATAGGTATATACTGATTTTTTTAACATGTTAAAAAATAATTAATAGAAACAAGACAATTTCATAATAAACAAGTCATTGGGACATTGTGCCAATATAGAAGTGAGGGAATGATGTCCTTTCCTTCTCATGTTACAAATGGATGTGAATCTCTCCTACCCTGAACAATTCACATTGGTCCTGCTGACCTCTCTACTGACAATCAATAACTCACATTTTTTCACCTTTCTGTACTCCATGGGCTCAAGTCACTGTTTTGTTGAAAACTCAAAGTTCTTTTTTTTCAAATCTAGTTGTTTTATCATGTACTCTTCTTGGAAATAGGTGTATGATTTTTACAAAAGTTTGTTACATTCTAAATGCAACTGACAAGCTTTCTAATTAAAGATATCCTAGGATGAATCATTTTATCAAGCAAATAAATGTTATTTTATATTTTGTGTAACTCTAGATTATCATATGGGGCCTGCTATAAATTCAAGCAATCCAGAAATGTTAATATTAAATAACAATTAATACCAAAAAAAAAAAAAAAAGGAGGCATTTTTCATGCCAGGCACTATTCTCTAACCAATGCCAATATGAAAGTACTATTATCTCCATTTTACAGATCAGAAACTGGGGGAAGAAAAGGTTAAGTAGATTGCCAAGGGGAGCATTCTTTCCTTCCTTTCCAATGTAGCTGAGAGAACTGACTGGCCAAGAAACCCAGCAACTGGTCCCACCTCTGTCTCTGATCAGTGATCATCAGCTAAGTTCATTCCTGTGTTAAATGAAGAAGCTGAACCAGATGCCATCTCAGGTCTTGTCTACCTCTAACATGCTATGATTACATTGTAAAATGACACAATTTTCTATTCCTCCCTATTTCCAATCTCTTTCATAATTACTAAAAACATTTTTCTGACGAATCCAAGTTTTTAAAATGAAAGTTCAGTTTAGGGAATTTCCATTCATTCAAAATATTTATTGTGTCCAGAACTGTCCTAAACATCAAGTGTTCTATTTTTTTATTTTTATTCTTCACCTGAGGATTTTTTTCTATTTATTTTCAGATAGAGTGGAAGGGAGGGAGAGAGAAACATCAATGTGAGAGGGACACATCAACTGATTGCTTCCTGCATGACCCCAACCAGGACTGGGGATGAACCGCAACCAAGGTACATGCCCTTGACCAGAATCAAACCTGTGACTCAGTGGTCCACAGGACGAAGCTCTAACCATTGGGATACCGGCCAGGGCAAGCATTCTATTTTGATAAAGTATTTTCAGAAAAAGATTTATTGATTAATAGTATGGCATCCCCAGTGGGCCAACATTTCACTTCACAAATCGACAGAAACTGCTAGAAAAGATGTCCTCCAAACCCTGTGCCTGTAAAGGCAAGGACTGCTCTTTTATCCCATATCCCCAAAGTCTAGTACAATACCTAGCTGAGTAAACACTTGAAGAGTCAGAACCTAACTCCAGGACTCAGGGATACATATTGGTAACACTATAAAGCTGCTTCAGTCTACCAGCAACATTCCATGTCCTGTCACTGGGCTGCTGGCACTAATGTTTAAAAAATAAGTAAAGCATTTGAGAATAGTGAGCTGTTAGATCTTAAACTAAATGATACTGTTCTAATTATCCTGCCAGTCTTCACTAAAAAGGTTTGTCCAAGAAAATGATGCCGCACAATTGCCCAAGCAGCTTGGCATTAATAAACTTTCTGGGCTGTGATGACTTCAAGATGACTAAAAAAGAGGTACATACCTGGTGAGTTTGCCACTGAGTCAAAATGACAGTTAGCCAGAACAGCATGCTGGGCTCCATCTCTGGGTTCCAGCTTTACCACAACATTGGTGATGTTATCATAGTAGCTTGTAAAACCTCCCAAAAAGTCAATGCTAAAGGAACCTGTGGGCCGTTGTACATCTACTGAAATCTTGTGAAGGCTGTTGCTTTGAACTTCAATCAGTTTAATCTGTTCCAAAAGGTAATGCACAGTCAGAATTTCATTTTCTGGACTTCCTGTAGTCCTGGGGCCAATGGATGTTATGTGTTCAAGATAATCCCTGAAAGCCACCAAACGAATGATGATTAACACTTAGCACAGAACAACTTTTCTTCTACAATTCCTCTCACCCCCTCTCCCCAAAACAAGTTCTTTGACTTTTCACATGAAAAGGCTGCCTTTGGGGGGTGGGGGGACACTTGAAGTATATGACTGTCTAACCACTATGCTGTACATCTGAAACTAATACAAAATAATATTGGATGTAGACTATAGTAGAAAAATAAATTTTAAATTAAAAAATAAAAAATCATTTTTTTAATCCTCACCCAAGGATATTTTTCCATTTGTCTTCAGATAGAGTGGGAAGGAGGGAGAGAGAAAGAAACATAGACGTGAGAGGGACACATCAACTGGTTGTCTTCTGCAAGACCCTGACCAGGGCCAGGGACAAACCACAACCTAGGTACATGCCCTTGACCAGAATCGAACTCATGACTCGTTGGTCCGAGAGCCAACGCTCTAACCATTGAGCGAACTGGCCAGGGCAATAAAATCATTTTTAAAAAGGTTGCCTTTTTATTATTTCAGAAAAATTCCATCATTTCATTTTGTTTCCCATGAATTCATCCCTTTAGAGTTTTCTCTACCCACCCTACTCCCTAATTCTCTCAATCCTCATACAAAGACTAGAGATTCTATTCAAAATGTATAAATGCTAAAAACTAGACAGCACAGAATGCAACTTCACTGTGCCATTCTGGAGGGCTACTGATTCTGGATTACTGACACCAACCAGCAAAGACAAGTCAAGAGGTTAAATAAACAAACAAACAAACAAAACTTTTTTATTGTAAGGAATTGACTCAGTCCTCCTAAGGTGCACACAAGGCCTAATAACTTCAATTCAGATCAAAAACAACTCTACTCCTAAAATAAACAAAAAAATGTTTTGTCTTTTTACTGCATTCCAAGTGGGGGAAAAGAAGGGTGGGGGAGGTGTTTTCCGGAAAGTCCTTAATAAAATAAGCTTCCAGCACATTGTATTCAAAAGAAAAAGTTTTTAAAATCACAGTGGCTGCTGAAAACTCTGCTTATCCTTTTAAGCTTTGAAACACTTATGTTACAATACCTTTGATTTCATCACCTTTCTAGCACACTATACGGTGTCTTTAATCTTATTTATTATTATTTTTAAATTAAATCTTACACCACCAGGGGCTCAAGGAGAACCTCCGGAAACCTGAGAACTTCTGCAGTTGTAAAATTTCGAAATGCCGTCTTTCAGGCTCAGCCTCCAGAGCTTTCAGATGTGAGGACGGTGACCCTTAGAAAGTCCACTGACTGCATGATCCCATTCCGACACCTCCTCAGGAACCGACTTTACAAAACTGGCTGGGTACACAAATTTCACGATCCTTCATTTCATTTGGAAAGCAGGAGGGTTAGCAAAAAGTGAAAGTTACTCCAGAAGGTGGGGGACGACTAACCAAACCATCTGCAGGTGGGGCAGAGAGGAGGTGGAAAGGCAGGCGCAGTCCCCTTGGCTGCCTCCACCTGCACCACCAGCTTACCAGGAGGCACTGCAAGCGCCGCGTCCTGTAAACTGGGACTCCAGAAGAGGGACGTGCAAGGCCACCGCACCCCACCGCACCCCACCTGGAGTCGGGCGGCGCCGGCGAGCCTGGGCGGTCCCGCAGAGGCATGTGCACTCAGGTGCGGGGCCCCAGCTCTGGCAGGGGACGCAAGGGGACGCGCGGGCAGGGCGGCAGTGGCCAGTACCTGGCTTGGCGCGCGTTGAACTCCCGGTGGTGCCCAGTGTCCCCACGCAGCACAAGCTGCTGTAGCGACAGCTGCACGAGCGTCCGCAGCGCGAGCAGGTAGAGCGCTAGCCCCAGCGCGGCGCGCGCCTCAGAGAGCCCGGTCCCCGCAGCCCCGCTCGCGCCTCCGCTACCCGCCGCGCTCCGCTTCCGCGTCCTCCCGCTGCCGCCGCACGCGTCCACCAGGGCCTCCAGCGCCCGGACCTCCCTCTCTGGTTGCTGCGCGGCTGCTGGGCCATCCCGGCGCTCGCCTCCGATGCGGTGCCGCCTCACGGCCGCCGACTCCGAACCCCGCTCCATGGCCACGAGCCTCAGACGCCAGCCCAACCGCCCAGCCCGCGACAGCCCCGGGAGCAGCCGCGGCCGCCGCAGCGCCTCCTAGTGAGCGGACGGAAACTGCAGAGGGCCAAACTTCTTCTGATTGGCCCGTGCCGCCGCGCGGAGACCCAGTCTCTACCGACAGACCGTCGGTGGGCTGCGCGGCAGGGCGGGCCCGGGCTGGGCGGACCCGGGCTGGTCGCGGTGGGTGTGCCTTCTCCTGCGAGGCATCCCTGCGGGTGTGGGACGGAGATTTCCAAACGGAAAGATACCCATAAACATAGAAACTTGAGAAAAGTAAGAGATCGCTTTTAAAAGAATGCACATGGTGCACAGATGAAGAAGGCAATGACCCAGCTTTCCTAAGGAGCATCAGAACAGGCTCTGGACGCTGCAGGCTCTTAAAATGGAAAATAGGGCTGCGCAAAGAAGGCCCAGACTCATGCTTCCGCATAATAACCTAATCCCAGATCTTAACTGTGTGAGGTAACCAGCACCATCATTGCCTTCATTAACAGTTGAAGAAAACTAACAGCTATTATTTATTGTACACCTGCCATGAGCCAAGCACTGTACTAAATTATTTAACACATTATCTCATTTGAGTCTCATAAGAACCTCGAAAGGGAAATATTTTTTATTCCCATAACAGCAGAGAAACTTACAGGTAACAGCTGAAGAACTTTATTTATTTTTTAATCCTCACCTGAGGACATTTTTCCATTTTTTGTTCAGATAGAGTGGTAGGAAAAGAGAGAGAAACATCGACGTGAAAGGGATACCCGAGTGGCTGCCACCCGCACAACCCAACCAGGGCCGGGGACAAACTGCAACCGAGGTACGTGCCCTTAGCGGAAACCGAACTCAGATCTCTCTGAACCGCAGGCCAACGCTCTAACCGCTGAGACAAACTGGCCAGGGCTGAAGAACTTTAAATCAGTGGACTCTCCAAACAGCATTCTATTCCGCTACTGAATATGGCATTCTGAAAAGCGACATTTAGTCTTCTTCCTGCTCGCTGATGCAGTGAGTCTCTGCTTCAAAGCTCTGTGTCTACAGCATGAACTTGCAGTAGCACCATGACCATTAACCTAGAGACCAACTGGAAAGGTACTACCCTACCTGTCTGCCCTACTACTGCTCAGGTCCTCCTGACACCAGGGTGTTCCTTATTCTCAGCTCTCCAGCTGGCCTCTTTTACAGTCCTTTCTGCTCACCACCTTTCCTTCCCCAACAGGATCTTTGCACATGCTGTTTGAGTTGCGTGGAATGTTTTTCCTCCCCCTCATTGCTTAGTTAACTCCTATTCAGCCTTCATATGTCAGGTTAAGTGGTACTTCCTCAAACAAGAATCTCCTAATCTAGTGAAGCCAGTTTCCCCTATTTGTAGGATCTCACAGCACCATGTGTGCTATGTAAATATTTAATGTTCTCTTCATTAGAGGGTAAGCTGCATGAAGGCAGGAATCATATCTGGTTTTACTCACCATTTTATTCCCTCCTCTGAACACAAAGCATGACATGTAGTATATAGTCAATAAATAGTTCTTTTTTTTTTAGTACGTGCCCCTAGTGGGAACCGAACCCGGGACTCTCTGGTCCGCAGGCCGATGCTCCAACCACTGAGCCAAACTGGCAGGACAATAGTTCTTGATTGAGTGAATAAATGAAAACAATTTTATAGCAGCAGCATAAGTTTAGCTTGATGAGGTCCTCTTTAGTCCGTAAGGTACATAACACCAAAGACAATGTCTACCTTATTTATTCATCACTATGTCCCCAGTGCTTAGCTCTGTGCCTAGCAAATGAATATATATTATCTTTTATAGGAATCTAGCTGTCTCGCTATTCTTTCCACCACAGCATAACAAAAAAATGGGGTCTCTAGTTCCCAGGCAAAGGGCACAAATGTCTCATGGATTTTTTAAGCTTTACTTATGTGATACTGTCACTAGCTGGGCTGTGTGGGTGTCAGAAAACCTAGGGATAAGGTGCACCTACCAGGAGCTGGGTTATTGGTTAAATCATTTGTGCTCTTTTACTGAATGGATAATGTAAGTTAAGATCTCTGACAATATTCCATGAGAGGTAGTATACCGTAGCTGATGAAGTCAGCTTCCTGAGTTCCTGGCTCAGGAACCTTTAATATACATGGCATTATGCAAGTTAGTCTCAGATTTGCAGTGTCCTTATCTGTGATCATGGAGATAACACCTGCCTTAAAGGGCTTCAATGAGGATTAATCAGCTAATACATGTGAAAGATCCTCACACATTTCCAGAAGTTTTTTCCTTATACAATCATTTGCAGGTGGGAGTAAAAGCTCTTTTCCTATCATGATAATCATAAAGCCCGAGGTGGGAGAAGTCAAGATATTATAATTGGGGCCTTGGAAGGCAGTTTTCTCTAGACTTGTATAAACAATGGTGTTCACATTTGAATATTTTTAAGCTACCAGGGGTTGGATATCTACTCTGTGTCAGATATTGATCAAGGTGGGAAAACACAGAGGAACAAATCAATGTTTCTGCCTTCACAGAGCTTACATTCTAGTGGGAAGACAATAAACGTGTGTGTGTGTGTGTGTGTGTGTGTATTTGTGGGTGAATAAAACGTCTATAAAGTGCTATGAAGAAAAACAAGCAAGGAATTAAGAACGACCAAGCTGCTGTTTTAAGCAGGTTTATCAAAGAACTTCTCTCTGAGGAGACGACATTTGAAGTGACCTGAATGAAATGAGGGATGGGGCCATAATAGCCTGAGGTGAGAATGTCCCAGGCAGTGGGAAATGAAATGAGATGTTCAGAAACAACAATGAGCAGGGCATGTGACTAAGGCAGACTGAGCAAGGGGGCAGTGACAGAGGCAAGGTCAGAGAGGTAGGCAGGAGCCAGTGCAAGGAGGGCCTCCTGGGTCACAGCAAGGACTCTGGGGCTGTTTTATTATTTTTTATTTTTATTTTTATTTCTTGGTCTTTAGAGAGAGAGGAAGGGAGAGGGAGAAAAAGATAGAAACATCAATGAGAGAGAACATCTATTGGCCGCCTCCGGCATGCCCCCCACTGGGGATTTGGCCCACAACATGGGCATGTGACTTGACCGGGAATCAAACCAGAGACCTCTTGGTACACGGGTCAATGCTCAACCACTGAGCCACACTGGCTGGGCTCTGGAGCTGTTTGAAACAATAAAAGCTCATGCTCCAACTTAAGTTTTATGACATCCCTCAGAGTCTTGGTATCAGGCAAAGCAGCACAATGACCACACCTAGATCATAGAGGCTAATAAAATACTTTGCTAATCTCTGGCCTTTGAAGTGTTTGAGGCCATCGAGCTGTAGTTTTATTTGTAAGGAAGTACACCACAGTGAATTGAAATACATACTCTAGTTTCCACATTTCAAATTACTTACGAGGACAGAACGAGATGTGAAAGGCTTAGGCTGCCCCATCTGATGAGCGATGGATCACTAGCTTTGACTCGATTCATCTGGCTTGGCAGACAATTATATTTTTCTTGTGTGTCCCTTTAGGACAAAGTGAGAGCTAGACCTACCTACAGTCACAGAGATGTCCCAAATCCCTTCTGTTTTGCCATCACTCCAATATTCCCTAGTAACTTGGTTAAGGTGAGTAAAAGGGAATGTGAGCTGTCAGGATTCTGGTAAATTGCCAGTCTCTGTCTTCCACAGAGGTTACCCTATGGCCTATGTGCGTCTTTCCTCAGAAAAGGGACTACTATGGCACTTGAAAGTTCTCTGGGACTGAGGCTGGCAGGATGCCTTTTACCTGATGTTACAGTGACATGAAAATCAAGATGTTGCATCAAGAGGTAACAAGACAATCCAAACCAGTTGCTAAAGACAGAAGCAGATGTCCAGAACTGATGAGCAGGGTGAGTTGAAAATTGAGAAATCAAGAACAAAGATTCCAAAGGCAAAAGAAATCTTGGGTAAATATTGCAGACAGGTACTGTTGCCTAAAGCTAGGTTTTACGTGCTTATGGAAGTGGTATGAGGGTCGTATAGCTTGTTTAAAGGGCCAGAAATGAAGGCTCATGTTTGGGGATGAACATTAGGTTTGTTTTTTTTGTTTGTTCGTTTTTTTAAATCCTCACCCAGGACATTTTTGCATTTATCTTCAGATAGAGTGGGAAGGAGAGAGGGCGGAAGAGAGAGAGAGAAACATTGATGTGAGAGAGACACATCGACTGGTTGCCATCCACACAACCCCAACGGGGGCCAGGGACAAACTGCAACCGAGGCACGTGCCCTTAGCAAAAACTGAACCTGGGTCTCTCTGGTCCGCAGGCCAACACTCTAACTGCTGAGCCAAACTGGCCAGGGCTGTTTTTTGGTTTTTGTTTTGGGTTTTTTGTTTGTTTGTATAGATCTCTTCAGGCTGAAGCTGAGGCTTCCTAACTACAGTGCTCTGCAATGAGACCTTCTGGACCTAGTGACAATGGTCAGATACAGGGAGCACCTCCTAAGAGCCAGGCAGCCTGGAAAGGGCAGTGCTGGCAGACAGGGGCATTCTAACAGGCACTTAGGCCAGATCTGTAAATCCCCTTTTTCCACAGAGCTTTTCTACTCCCAGGAGTCTAGGGAGAGCAGGATGGCACCCACTGTTACCTCCCTTTCAGTCACAGGTTGGTACCACCTGTTCCCTAGTTTCCTGTAGCTGGTAGCCACAGAGGAGTTAGAAAACCAGCCCAGCTGCATTGCTAGCTGAAACATGTCAGATCACCGTTTTCCATGGCCAATCAGAAAGGATAATCTCTGATTTTTGAAATAACTTATATCTAGCTAAAAAGGCCTTTTGGAAAAAAATAGGGTGGAGAAAATTAGCTCTTTGGTGGAAAGAAAATCAAATTGGAACCTCACATCCTATTTACACACCAATAATAATAATAATCAAGTAGAATTCAGAATTAAACAATTTTTTTAACTGATAAGAAATAAGGTAGCCCAGCCGGTGTGGCTCA